TACCGCTAACCCCTCGATGTATACAGTACTCAGGAAGAAACCAAAAAAACGTACATACAAACAAGAGCATGTGCGTTTCAGCCGCTGTCGTTTCTCGTTTTCTTTTTTTTTTTTTTTTACACTTAGCTCCTCTGTAGAAACTGGCCAGCCAAAGGCTGCGACGGACGTGACAGGTTACCCGGCCTTTGATCCCGCGCAACTTGATCGTGCGGCCTGAAACTGTATCAAGTTCAACTTTCGGGACGGGAGTCGCTCCTAAATCGCCAGCAGAGCCCCCCTAAGTGGATAGCCCCACATAGTGCGCCGTGTGAGTTGTTCTCTTTCCTTCTGGTAATGCACTTTTGGTTCCAGCTTCCAAAAAAAAAAAAGAGAGACATCATCTGCATCATCTTGTGTTTTTCTTCTGCGTCTTCTGTATCGTCAGGCTTCTCTCCTGAAACCCGCCTTTCTTATTGAGCTTTCGTACGAGAGCTACTCCGCCCTTATTTCCTTATTTCCAATGACACCGCCCTAATCTATGCCTTTAATCTACCTTGCCTGCTTATCTGTTCGTAGCCGTTGCTGCTGTTACGGTGACAGCATCTCTCGTTATCGGGTTCGTCAAAATAGATGGACTCAAACAGATGCACTTCTGTCCCCGTTCCGTCCCTTCTGCTCTTTTACCCGATCCAGTACTGCCACGAGATAAAAATACAGTTCTGCAAGTACAGTCGAGTTTTTTCATTGCGCATCAGAAAGTTTTTCGCAACGTTTAAGAACCGAGTGATAGTCATCAGACGACCGCATTAACGCATGATTGAGTCCAGAGTACTAGCACTAACCACCAGAGTAACTGGCTGTAACGGGCCGGGCATGTAGCGCGTAGGCAGGATAACCGCTGGTCATTCAGGGTAACTGCCTGGGTCCCAAGAGAAGGCAGACGCGCGAAGGGGAGAGATAGACATGTGGGGTTTCGCGTCCCAAAACGACCATATGATTATGAGAGACGCCGTAGTTGAGGGCTCCGAAAATTTCGACCTCCTGGGTTTCTTCAACGTGCACCCGAATCTATAAGCACACGGGCCTACAGCATTTTCGCCTCCATCGAGAATGCAGCCACCGCAGCCGCGATTCGATCCCGCGACCTGCGGGTCAGTTGCCGGGTACCTTAGCCACTAGACCACCGCGGCGGAGCGTGAGGAGGAGACAGAAATAGGTGGGCAGATGAGATTAAGAAGTTTGCAGGTATGACTTCACAGTAGAAAGCACAGGACCAGGTTGATAAGCGGAACACGGGAAAGGCCTTTACCTTTCCAGTGAGCGTAGTACGGTCGATTATGATGATGATGATAATAATGATGATGATGAAGAAGATGATGATAATGATTATGATGACGACGACTACGACCAGCAGTGATAACTAGCGAACTGCTAGATCTCGCACACGAACTGGCATGAAAGAGTGCTAAGCTATAGGCTAGTTGGTATGGATGTTTAATAAGTTACAGTGCAAAAGAGTGAGCGAAAGCGACGAAAAAAGAAGACACACACGGCTGCACTGCGCTCGTCTTGTGTAGTTCTTACCTTTTTTGTATCTTCCTTTTTCATGCTGTTTATCATCACGAACCTAAATAACTGGCACCAATCTTGATTTTTCAATCGTTGTCATAAGTACGCCGGTATAACTTGTCGGCCTATACACGTCTGAGCTGTCGGTGACCCCCCCCCCCTCCTCAAAAAATAAAAAAATGCGCGGCAGTGGCATCATAGGTCTGAAAAAACAAAAGTGGTGCTTATTTGAAGTCACTTAAGAAATATATTTTGCGCTTAGAGTTCAGTCAGACTCCGACTAACCAAAATATTGCTCACCCGCACTCACTCACACTCAGGCCGATACTCACGGCTCAATCTGAGACTAAGTGAGTCTGATTAAGTCGACTCGTGGGTGAGTTAGCGTGTTATTATCTTTTTTAATTACAGTGTCAATGCTTTTTAATGCCACTATCTCACATAATCGGTGCTCTAGTGGCGTCATTCGGTCTCGTGCATACCTTCAAGTACGAATTATCAGGGGTTCCAATCAAGTGACGAAATTTTCACGAACGACGCGATGCACGCCGGATATCCTTATCGGAACTTCCCGTGAAAGATGTTGCGCGGGGAAGTCGAAGCACGGCCTCCCAACCCTCCTCCGTGACTGACCCCTGTGATCAATAAACGTGAGTTGTCGTATACAAACTCTGGTGGGTGGAATATACACGAGTAGACGTGAGCATATATACGCGAGCCCACATACGGCCTATAGTAACGCTGAAATTGGGTAGATAGGACCATGCGTGGGCAGTAAAGCTCATTCAGACCCGCTCAAGTATTTTGGAGGCCAAAAGCTCACGCGATATAAGACTCATCAAAGGTTTTCTCAACCGGAGTCACTCACAAACTCACTGAAGTATTACTCAGCCAAACTCGCTCAGAATCGATCAATCGATATCGATCGATATGTGGGGTTTGATGTCCCGAAACCGCCATATGAATATGAGAGACGCCGTAGTGGAGGGCTCAGGAAATTTCGACCACCTGTGGTTCTTTAACGTGCACCCACATCTGAGCACACGGGCCTAGAACATTTCCGCCTCCACCGGAAATGAAGCCGCCGCAGCAGGGATTCGATCCCGCGACCTGTGGGAACTCGCTCAGAATCACGGATCAACCTGACTCTTAGTGAATCTCAGTGAGTCGACCTATGAGTGAGCTAACTGAACTCTGTGAGCCAGTGATGTCAGCATTGGTTCTCCCGTGCCACAGTCCAGAAAAGAAGCGTTCTTTTCTCCCGTGAATTGGTCCATGAACATTTTCAATGAAGGCTCCCTGGGTGCCGCCATAATCCTCTCTGGACTTTGGTGAACATGCGTGAAGCCTTCACAGTGCTCTGCCCAGCTAGCGTCGTCAGCCTTTGTACTCTAGCGCCATAGTCCAGGAGGAAGTTCTCCTTTTTCAGTTGAAAAAGTCTACAGTCCAGCGCAACGTGTACAGTGGACTGCAGGTATTTTCAACACACGTGGAAGGCCACGACCTGCACTCGCTAATTACTACGAAGGCCTACGACTCATAAGAGTTACTCGACTCGTAACGGTCTATCACTCATGATGGTCCACGACTGAAGCTATGATACTAGTACACTCTAGCTATAATCATGAAAGTCTATACGACTCGTACAGACGCCTTGCTATGAGCGAAACAAGGACTACCACAGGGTGAACTTGGTTCTGAAGGTGCCGACTCTGTACTTCGCCATATTTGGAATTCCAATATTATGCTGCACAATGTCATTCCCAATATTATCATCCACTTTATTAACTTCTTAGAGCTAACGTCACCGTTTTTTTTTTCGGATACGTAAGATTAGCTAGTGTTCCACAACATATGTCACATCCCTGTATTACCTGCTCTTCATCCATTGTCATAACTTCAGTTGTCTTTTATTATTTCTTGTGCTCGTTGAAGAGGCATGTGAAGTTTATTTTAAAGAAAATTGAGAAACCTGTTAAAAAAAAACCACTTTCTCGATTTCTTCTTCTACCACCGGAATGACTCATTTTAACTATTGCGTGCCTCCTGCCATGAACGATATATCTGCTGGTTACCTTCCTGCGGTTTTTCCGCCCAAGTCCCAACTTTTAGAGGACGCAGTTTTGTGAGTACGTATCCTGAGTATTGATCATGCGTTACGATGACTAAACGAGCTATAGTGGTTCATCTCATTAGACTATTTGAACTGGTTCGCTGATGCATCTATAGACGATTGGCTACAAAATGCAATCAGTCGACTTATCTGTTACAGTTACTAGATGACCTGAAGATTGCCGCAGCTCTTGGAGTGCTCGCTACAAAATAGTGATTGAACTCATAACAGATGAGTTATTGGGTGCGATTGTTAAGCGAGCTACTTGTTCTGAATCTTAGACAATGTAGCTTATAAAACTGACCAGGTATTGCATGACTAGTCGTCTCATGCCTAGAAACGAATTAATGGTTTAACGTGCCCTGTAGAAAGCGTTCACAGTGTTCACTATGAACGCCCCAACGCGTAAAAGTTCTGAAGCTTGCTTTGAAAACTCGCAAGTTTGCTGGCAATATCTGTCCCGAAAAAATGAGAGAAAGAAAGTGTTTGCTCAAACTGAATATTCCAACTCGTATGTTAGGTTAAAAAATATTTACAGACATTTCGGTGGGCTGGCTGATTCAAGAACTACATAGATAATATTCGTCATTCATAACAAACGTAACGAACACACAAAATAGAGTGCTGTCCTGTGTTTTTCACTGTCACGTAGTGTGCGGTGTTCTCCCATAGTGTTCATGGGCCAACTAAACCACCTAACAACCCTCGTCAGTATTCTCCTTTTTAACTGAAGAATATTTATGGCTCGTCCTTTCATTGTTGGTGTAACAAATCGAACAAAAATATCCTGCAGCTGCTGATTAAAATGAGTTTCACTGTATTCTCGGCGCTCCATGGCGGTATACAGGTATATGCATATTTATCGGAGTCGAGTCCGACGTTACTAGAGTTTCCTCTTCGCGGGAGCAAGTCGAACAGCCGGCTAGCCCGCGTGTGCATTGGCCGAACGTTGCGAGAGAAAACGTCATAAAAGCAAACGGGTTTTTGCTTCGACCCGCACTTCAAGTGCACCGCACTCTCTTCTATGTATGTTCGTTATTTTCGTTGTTTGCCCGCCGCCGCCGGCCTGACGCGCGCGATAAGGTGACACCAATGTTGGACGTTTCCCGCTGCTCGTCTGGCAACGCCGCGTCACTCCTCCTCTCGCGTTTTCTCGCTCCCTCCTCTCCAACACCGCCTCAACACTCGGAGCAGACGACGCTCGGCTAGGCTGTGCAACAGCAACTCAGCGCTGCACGTCTGGCAACAGCGAGCCATCATTCTCCTCGTCCTCTCACGTTTTCTCGTTTTACCCTTTCTCTCGTCATCGCACGGAGCAGACGACAGCTCCTCAGCCGCGAGCAGACGACGCTTGGCGCTCGGTGAACTTGCTTGTGTGCGTGTGTGTGTGCTGCGGTATTCGTGTACGACGGCTGAAACCTCAGGACGTTTTCGACACGTTGATCCCCTGTGGCTCACCGCTGAAATAAACGGCGGATAAACGTTACTAACGAGTACGTCGCTAGTTTCGAAACGAAAGCTTCAGAACGCGTCGCCAGTACGTTTCGGCTCCCGGAACTACCGCCGCCGCTCGCTCGGTCAAGGGAGTCTCGGGCATCGTGTCGCTCGAATGATGAACTGTGCATTCGTATTCTGTGTGCCGTGATGCGAGAAGTTGTGCTGCGCGCTCGAAGTGCGAGGATTTGACGACGAAGTGTTCGTTGTGTGAATTGCGCTCTTCCCATCGTTTGGATACCTGGCAAAGGCATCCGGAGGATCCTTCTTTTGAGGTTGGTGGAAATATATAGGCAGTTGTCGGGAACAGTGCAGTTGCGTGACAACTAAAAGAAGCCGTCGTTGTTGTTGCTTATAAAAACGAGGGTTACACAAGCCAGATATAACATACACCTGTACGGTAGCGAACCTGTTCGTTTGCTTCCACATCATACAGATAATTTTAAGGTTGTATGTTTCCTGATTCAAGTACTTTCGCAAGAGTAGTTCCGACTATTGAGATCGTGTAAGGCTCTTGTTATCATAATGTATGCAGTGTCATTGACAACTCGCCCTGGAAGTTCACGAAGTAACAGTGGGCTTGGTGACCTCCAGACATCAGACGAACAAGCAGACGTCAGATTACAGCGCAGCGGAAAAGACCCCTGGCGGCTGTTGTTGAGGCACAAAATATCTTTCGCCCGATATCTTTGGACCTGAAGGTCTTCGGAAAAGCCGTCATGTGGCCTAATTGCGAGAAAAGGTGACACGTATAGGTGGCCGACATCGTAGATACCATATCTTGCTCTTTCTGGGTCGACGGTTGTTTGGTGAGAACGGGCCACGGAAACTCGCACAGGGCGTGTTTGATTTGATGAAATTGTTCGTTCAAGTTCCGAAAATGCAATAACGCTCGCACAGAGACGTCATAGCAGGCAATAGATTAATTTGTACGTATCACTTGTCCTGCATTCAACAATAGGCGTAATTGAACAGAACGACTGTAATCAGGCCGACTATTTATGAAACCAGTCTCGCCGATCAGTAAAACGGTGCAAATTATCTTCGTTGACATCTTGCCAGTCCGTGCCAATTAGCATGCGGTCTTTGGCGGACGGTGGTATATATGAATAGGTGAGCTTTCCTGCCAAAGACAATTGGTAACATTTTGTTTGGGATTCTATATTTAGATGCTTATGCACCTGTTCTGTTGTGTACGCTGGAAGATTGACATAATTGGCCAATTAGCTTGGTTGGAAAACCTCCAGTTGCAGCTCAGAAATTAATTGGTTCAATTCGGTAGGCATAGAGCTCTTCAAACACTATATTCCTTTGTACTGGATGCGAAAATTCAATTTCTTCTAGACTTATATTTATGAATAGCGTCTGACGCCATTAATAACAAACTTTCCTTAGAACCCAAGGCATACTTATATGCATAAAATGCGCACGTGATATTCTGGCTCCAAAAGCAGGTGTCTCATTGTTTCGTAGACCTATCTTAGTGGACTAGGTCCAACGCTCCCTAGCAACCTCTTCACTGGGGGGGGGGGGGGGGGGGGGGGGGGGGCATTTTTGCGCCGACCTCTTAAATGAGGGCGTCTATACCACCGGGATTTGAACCGACGACTTTCATCCTTCTTAGCGGCAGAGCGTCCAGCCACGGTGGTCTAGTGGTTTGGACGTTTCACTGCTGACTGGAAGGTCGAGGGATCGAATCCCGGCCGTGCCGGCTTCATTTTCAATCCAGGCGAAAATGTCTGAGGCTCGTATGCTTAGATTTCAGTACACGTCAAAGAACCCCTGGTGGGTCGAAATTTCCGGAGCCCTTCACTACGGCGTCTCTCATCATCATATGGTAGGTTTTGGAATGCCAAACTCCAACAATTATTAAACTATTATTATTATCAGCAGAAAATCTCTAGACTCTCAGATCTGATTCGACATGTGAACCGTGCATGACATTCGAATAATGCTGTCCTAAAAAATTGTTAGTTTTGCGAACAGGAGAGGTCAACATTATAAGCGATGTAGTGTATACAGCGACTATCCGGTCGAAATGCTTCGAACGGCATTGAATGCACTAAATTGTGTCTCACATCATTACGTTGAGAACTTCTCAATAGTATCGCGAAGCACTTCCGTTACAGCTTCTCAACAGTACCACCTAGGTTGGGGAATCGTCAACAGTTTCGCAAAGCGCTTCACTGGGAACTTCCCAAAATCATCCCAAGCACTGCGTATAGAAAGCTTCGCAGCAGAGTCGGAAAACACTTCGTCAAAAACTTCTGAACAGCATCGCGAAGACCTACGCGGGAAACACTACCACGAAGAACTATAAGTTGGTGACTTGTGAACAGTACCGCAAAACGCTTCATTGCGAACCTTGTTAACGGTATTACAATACCCTAAGCTTGGAACATTATCAACCGTGTCAAAAAGCACTTAGTTGGGATCGTCTTCAGCGGTATTGTGACGCACTGCGTTGGGAACCCTATGAAGGTCGCATATATAAATCTTTCACTATTACAACGTATCTTTTTTATAACTCGAATATGCGTTGACGAATAATGACCAACTATAACAAATTTCTTGGGAGATTTAGCAATCCGCACATTTCGGTGGTACACGGCTGATAAGTGCTAGGAATTGATGTGGTACTCGTGAACACACATACATAACGCTATATTTCAATTATAGCCACAGAATCACACTGTGTTTCACGCGTGCATCCAAATAAATACATCATCGGTGTACGTCGAACTGGTTGTTTACCGCTCTAGTGACATCTACGATACACCTTTCCTTGTCAGATGGCAAAAAGCCTACCTAGCTGGCAGAGATATTGTCCGCAGTGTAGTAAGAACAGCGACGTTTAATAACTATTTTCGCCGCTCCTCGCAAAGTTTCGGGTGTCTAGCCGCAAGTGACAACTTATGCTATCCTATTTTCTGGGACGCTGCTTAGCCAACTCGAAGTAAATTTCTTTGACAGTGCAAGCTTTTAGCTTTCTCGTCAAGTAGTTGAATGTGCAAATCCATAACTTCGCACGTTAAAGCTCAAGGGCTATCTGTCACGAATTTTCGAACCTGAGTTTACTACGGTGTACGAATGTCCTGTACACGAAAACAGCGCTCAGAAAGTGTGACGCCTACGAAATGCTCATAGAGTATTTTGTTTTGTCAAGAAAGTAAATTTTCACATGGCGTACTCAATGATATTGACATTAGCCTGACTTCGTGCAAGATTATCGAATGCTGGCAACTTCAACAACCAATACGGCTATAGGTGCGATGATATCGCGGGTGCGAAAACATGCAAAATGGCCACTCGTGCATAATGCGTAGGAACGGAGCTACGGAGTGGTGTCGCTATTCTGGACACAGTGGAATTCCGTTACGTAGTGAAGTTTCGTAACGACGACACAGTAAACCAATCAGAGGGGCCGTAGCAGCAATCTGTGCCCTTCCGAGTTGACCATTAATAGAGTTTGGCAAGATGACGAATTTAGACAATGTCCACAATAGCATCCGGAGCGGCCGTGGAAACGCCAAGATATCTTGTACGAGATCGTGGCGAGAAGGTTCAGTAAGCTATACGTATACATTATATGTGGCTACTTAAGTCATACTAGTTCAGTACTACGTATATCACCGTGCCCTTCCGTGACGTCAGGGTACAGTATAGGGAACCAAAAGTAGCTCTTAAAGGCATCTGTGATTTTTTTAGGGCGCATATGCGCTTGGTATACAATTCTATTCTCTTGTGGTCTCGGCCTCTCATTCGATGCGAAAAAAAAAAGCAAATGAAACTTTTTTGTGAATAACCTTTTGATGTGTATTTCATATCCTGTGAGGTGTCCATGTATAAGGCCATATCGTAGACATTATCTGTGAAAGGCGTCTTTCGCAATAACATGAAACTCGGCGACGAATGTAATGTGTAGCGCGGAAAGCGAAATCTAATGAGCACTGCTGCCAAGTGTTGGAGGTATGCATTGTACGCTCCGTACCATTTGAGATTCGCAAACTTGCAAGGCCTGACCTGCGAGTCTGGTCTAACACCGTTTTGCCGACATCAAGTGAGCTCGTCAGAGTGTAGAAGTTTAGCGACTCTGATTACGATGGATCGTTACGGAGTACTTTGGAGAGTCAGGGTGCAATTATTCCCAGTTAATCTCTCTGAGTACAATTTCGTTGAGCTGAAGCCAAGGTCAGTCATAAGCTTAGCAGAATTCAGGTCGCCGAGTTAATCTGTTTGCGTAGAATTTCAGTTCGAAAGATTGAGTGAGCCCGCCTGTGAGAGGTTTCCAATACTCTGAGCGAGTTTGGCTGAATCATGTACACCGACGTGTACAGTGCTGCGCACACATGTGCAGAATTTTGGCTATAGCTTGAAATTGAGCAAGCCTAACTGCGTAGTTCCTTGAAGAGCCTCAGTACGCTGAGCATGGCTGAGCAGTTTTGGTGTTTATAAGTCCGAGTGGAACTGGCTGAGTTGTGCTTTGGTGAGTGAATTCAGCTTAGTGGATAGAACTTTATCGGCTCCGAATCAGTGTGGCTGAGCATAGTTTTCAGGGTCACTATGTACGAGAGTTTACTGGATTTCAGTTGTACTGACTCTGAGAGAAACGGTTTGAGCCGAATGTTTGTTACTCGTGTATCCGAGTGGATCTGGCTCAGCGTAATTTCGGCGACTGGGTGTACCTGGCTGAGTATTGTGTTGGCGACTGTGAGTAGACTTTTGGTGACTTTGAGTTCGAGTGAACCTGACTGAGTTGTGTTTTGGTGAGTGGAATTGAGTAAGCCCGACTTTAGCCTAATTTTTGAGTCTCCGAGTGAGTCTGGCTAAGCCGTATTAAGGAGAGTCCAAGCGAAACTGCAGATAAGCCCAATTTCGGTGACTCAAGAGTCCGAGCGATTCTACCTTGCAGGCATACGGTATAGGTGAGTTCGAACGAAGAGGAGCATTGAAGGAGGAACGAGCCCTGCTGAGTAATGAGTTGGATGACTCTGGGGTATTTCGCTGCTAAAAAGTATCTCGGCGAACGTCATTCTTATGTCCCTGGCTGCGCAGAGCTTTCTATGAGTCTGAGTGAGCCCTAAGCGAGAAACATGCTTTGCCGTGAGTTCGTTCTGTTTATGTTTCCCGCCTGTGCTCCGCGCGGTGGCCTGACCTTGCACTCCATGCACGTAAACCGATCATTCAGCGTCGACGCTTGGGCTGGTTGGTACTGGAGGGAACACAGCACAAAAGAGGGCGGGAGAAGGAAAGGCGACAAGTTCGCAGCACTGTG